TCACGAAGACGGTCCCCAGGAGAGAATTGACGTGCTTCACAAAACAAACTCTAGGTATGTATCCCCTCGGGGAACACCTTTCGTGATTAGAATTTCATATGCACTCTTCCTGAATGTTCAAGGGGGTTTCAACTATCCTGAAATCATGAGAGGCTCACGAAGACGTTCTCCAGGAGAGAATATAGAGAATTGAATTTAGAGGCGGGGGGAGGGGGGGGGGGCGGGTATTGAAAAACAATTTCCCGGGGGGGGGGGGGGGGGGGTGTGTTTTGAGAAATCAATCCGAGGGGGGGGGGGTTGAATTGAACTATCAATCATTAGACCCGGAAGCGCCGACACTTGCTTCGCAAGACAAACTCTAGGTATCCCCTTAGGGGCTACCTTTCGTGATTTGATGTTATTTGTATATAGGAGAATATAGATGTCAAGCTTCCAATTCTGACAGTTTCTCTCCAATGGTCGCCCACCTGGTTCTGGTTCAATTGTATACGCTTTATTGGAGGTGGTTGTCTCGAGCTATCCAAAATGGTAATGTATTGCGTCAGAGGAACACCAGTTCATCACGCCACTGGTTCTGGGACGAAAGCAGCAAGCGAGCAGGCCAGTCAGCCCAGGTGTGCCGTTAAATTAACTCCAAGCACTGCAGGTTTACTTGAACATATTGTGGTCCCCAAATTGATGGAAACGGTATCCAATGGATCTACGTTTCTATCTATTTGGAGGTTCATATATTGATACATATACATGTCATATCTACCACCAGCATTGTGCGGATTCAACCCATTGTGTCATTCCAAAGAAAAGCACATCAAACACATCTGAAAATACCCCTCCACCTCCATCAAGCTCTCTCCGAAAATAGGTCTTCAACCAGTAACCATGCTAACCTCTACCATCCCATGTTCAACACAGCCTTTCCAGTCATGTTTCATTTTGAACCGACGAAAACACAGTGATTCCTCGACTATACCAAGCATACAGTAGTTGGAATGCATAGGGGTCACAAAAACATACAACAAAAACCCTTCCACCTCCCAACATTGGCCTAATGAGGTTCTATGAGGTTCTTTTCACTTCCCGGTCACCTCTCAGCCGATTCGAGGCTGTTCTTCACACCAGCCGAGTGGCCATGCTACTCACCTCAGCGATCTCTTGGACGATGTGTAACAAACGCCTGGCCGTCCCACGATCTCGGTTTTCGCGCGAGGTTTACGCGCGCCCCACGCCGTGGAGGGTGCGGGAAGACGCTGGTGCAAAGGGGGAGAGTGCCAGCAAATCAGTGATGCTGCAATTCGATTCTTAGACTCTGGGACATACTAGCGGAGAGTGCCTGCAAGAATGGGATGATAAACACCAGCTTGGAGGGTCCAGTTGTAGGTCTCGTAGATATGACTCTTCAATTTTGCACAAGCCTCATGATAGTACGAATACACATCATTGTCTCTTGCTAAACCTCATCAAAGGCACATGACCATAACCCAAAGGTTTTGCACAGAAGTTTGTCACAGAAACACAAAGAAACACACCCGACATCCGAGTGCCGGACTGTTTGTGCAGCATCTCCACATAGATCAAGCCTCTAGCTGCACGAGCAGGCACGAGTATCATGGTCTTCTGTGCTTCACAAAGTAAACCCTGGACACAGAGCTGACGATTCACGAGCTGAGCACAGAAGCAACAAACCGTCCACCATGGGCAACTTCTTGAAGGGGAAATAAATGGAATAGGCTCTTAGCTGAGTCGCCACATCCACTCATTCGAGGCTCTGAAAGGACTCCAGGGACCCATGGGGACCCTGAGACTGAGACTGGTGGTTTTTCTCGGATGATGTGCCTGGACCCTGAGACGGTGGCCATATCAGAGGTATCTCCAAGCCCTCAACCCTGACTACTGTGACTCACTGCGGTCTCCAGCGGTCTCTTCCAAGTGGCTGTACTTCGCTCTCTCCTTCATGAAATGGAGCTCCGTTTCCGCGTTCACCTGCTCGTACTCATTGCCGTAGATGGCAATGACCTGCGAGCAAACCAAAACGCATCGAGCTTTCTTCTCGACCTGCCGCGACCTGGCCGTCATGGAAGGCCACCCGCCACACATGAGTTATACAGTCTGGAAAACTCACATGGACACTGAGAATTGCACCCTGAAATACTTGTTCTCTATCTGCACCAGCGTTTTTTTTGCAGGGTTCATGTTGGTCTTCAGTGGGGTAATTGTAGTGTAGACTCTTGATGAATAGACACCCCCAGGAGGGGTTCACCCAAACACTCCATGGGATTGGCATGTGACTCCGGATCAGGCCAGGGGTGGTTGACCCGGGGTGAAAAATCCAGTCCGATGGAGTGTCTGGGGAAGTCAATCAGGTCGGGTTCAGTCAAAGCCAAGGCACTAAACGATCGACTAATATATACTGTATGTACTGTATATCTATAGATTAGTCGCTCCCTCCCTGGCTTGCTCCCTGTGCCCCCCACAGCCGCACCAAGTTGAGGATGGTGATGTTGAAGAGGATAGTGCCAGAGACCTTGGAATGGTGGCCACTGAGTTGAAGGAATGGATCCAATGGATCTGGACTCAATTCCATCATTCCCTACGAGTGCTGCCATCAGTCAGCTTGGGATGCAATCATTCATTTGGAACCCCGGCAGCTTGCCTTGGCCAGGCCGCCGCCTAGCAGCTTCTCCCTGCATTCCCACCAGCCATCAGCCCCTGCGAATAATCCTATTAATATCTAAGATTCTTAATTAATTGATATTGAAGAGATTGTTTTGCCTTTTGAATGCGACTTATTCCACCCAACTTCCTAGCAGCTACCCCCTCTGCCTCCCAGTGATTTCTTCCACATGAATGATGGGCACAATCCGCCCGCTGAAACCCTACCAAGTGCACTGAGAGTCACAGGTCACCATTCTTCTTCGTTCCCTACAAGCCAAAAACAGACTTAGCAATCAAAGACTTGGGCTCAAAATGCCCCACGCTTTTGGGGGAAGAAAAGGCCTAAAATGGACCCAAATCAACAAATAGAGCACCAGCGATTGGTGTTGCGCCGTGGTGGAGCTTTCAGCGATTCTGAGTCTTGGACCATAAAGAGCACCAGCGCGATTTTATTGTCCTCCTCCGTGCTCCCCAGCATTAGGCCCATGCGATCTAGGCCATCCTGATCAACATCGCTCGGCGGCTCCCTCGCGACGGTGCAACTCGGAACCCTGGAACGACCGATGGGGCCACCCGGGCTGAAGGCAACTGGGTCTTCTTCTGAAAAAGAGGGTCTTGATGGCTGGTGAATGGATGTGAATGATGCTTGGGCCGCCCGATATCATCACTGTAGATCGAGATCTAGAAACCCTGCTGATAGGATGTTCCATCAACTCAACTGACTGTTTATTGCTTCCTGTGACCAACGAAGTACAGTGTCTTTGAGGGTGGTTTATGTTCAATCTACATTCTTTCCTTCTATTGTTGAAGAAACTTAGTACTGAGGACCAAACAGTGCCAGGGAGTGCTGTTGTCAGTACGAGTTACATGTTTCGCGACCAAACTGAACCTGAACCACAAACTTGGGTCCTATCGACCCGGGACCAAGACCCAACTCCTTCCTTTTCGTCCCTTTTCGTCCCTTTTTCCCTTCGCCATCAACGCTTTCCCTTCAAGCGACGCCATCGCCGAACATCAAGCCCCGGTAGAGGTAGGTGACGGTCCACGCCTCGGTCGAAAAAGGCCAACACGCACCGGTGAGGACTGAGATATATTGAGATGCCAATGGTGGCATCTAAGTCAGACTTCAAAAGAGCTGGGATGAGCTGTGTCCTCAGGTTGCTCAAGGTTGCTCCGCTCATCGTTTACACCAGGATATTCGCGTACATCACATTTGGGAGAGGTTGGAACACCTGAACACATCATCTTGTCTCCACAAGAAGCTTCTTGCAAAACCTTTTCTGGGCTGTGAGACTCCAACGCCTCTCACACCTGCTCCGTTGCGGCGACCGTCGCCCCACCCCGACGGTCTGACGCACGCTCCGGCAGACCTCGTCGTCCCGTGGAGGTTCTCCGGGGCTCCCGACCGCCTGCTCTCGACGGATCAGGGTCAGAAAGGCGAAGGAGAAGGAGGCCTCAAGGGTGGCGGAGGCCAACTTAGGAGCAAGAAGCTACTAGTAGCTGCTGGCCTTACTACTATAGGAACAAGAAGCTACTAGTAGCTTGAGGTAACCATCTGAGCCACCGGACATGGAGCACCAAAACATGGATTTCTTAGAGCACTTAGTGGTCGCCGGGAGGCGATAGTTTGCGGCTTGGAACACGCTGTCTTTTCCTCCTTTTCGAAGGTCTTGTCTTCAGGGTATTGAGGGAGTACAGTGGAGTGACTTGTAACGAAGCCTGAAGAAAGCCCCAAATGACCTCAACACACAGGCATGATTTGTTGTTTCTTTATATATATATAGTCTCATGAGTAAGTAGACACTGGCCCAAGTGCACAAACAACAGAATAGAATCATTTTTGCCAATCACTCTTGAATGATGATGTGGTGCTGCGCTTCCTCTTGAAAAGCACAGGGGTAATCTAACTAACAAACAAAGCATAGTAGATCAACTGGTGCCAATCCAAACGAACACAGAAAGCCAAACATTATCTCAGTAGAAGGGAGCAAATTCGGAACGATCCTGTTGAAGGTCACTTGCTCATCTGGGTCCAGACAACCACAAACATTTGAGCTCCTCTCTGACATGAACAGTTCATCAGTTTATAATAGTTTATCTATGTTTATCATAGTATTCTCCGCTTCTTTGAGATTTTGGGAGAGCCACGAGGAGTCTGCATCCTTTGCTGAACCACGCCTCGCATGACTCCCCTAGGCCTTGTGTTGGCAGCGACTCGAACCCTCCGTCGCGCTTCATCGAGCCACGGTGATCTGCCACCGCTGTGTCCCCTTCCCCACACAGATCAGCCAAAGGAGCGAAAATCATGACCTCAGCGCGCTCTTGTCTCGCGTCAAACGAATGGCTTCAGTGCCAGGGTTTCCGCGGACTGTTTTGTGGGAAATAGCTTCCGCAGGCTGAACGGCGGCAGGAGATGCAGGAGTCTGGGGAAGCTGTGGATTATTCGAAAACATGTCGTGCTTTGGGGGCTGTGAAGGCAGCTTGCAGGTGGTTCCGGGATACGGACGTAGGAACCCCTACGTCCCGAGGATCCACCGCAGCCATCGGGGAAGCCTAGAATGGAGTCCCCCAAGGAAATTTAATTCACTTGGATAATCCAGTTCGTTGGCTCCCGATTTGGTAGAGGACCTCCTTCTTTGGAAGCAAAGAAAGATCTAGTATACAATGTGTCAATTTGTTCCCTTAGATCCCAGCTGCGTTTCGTTTACCAACAATGTTGTTTGTCCTTCTATGGAATTATGGCCGCTGAAGGTGTGTATGGTTCTTACACGATGAGATATGTCCACCTGTCCTGTCAAAAGATTGCCTCCGTCTACCATCATCATTATACATTTCTTCAACCATGTTCAATCCTGCCGGGAGACAGCAATGAGGAGCATCTCCAGAATGGTGCGGCTGAAAAATGTCTTGAAGATCGCTAAGATCCTTGAACCCAGCAAAGCTCTGAGAGAGAAAGCTCCGTCCACGTCCGATCTTGGACAACATCTGGCAAGCTGTGACAACAGTATCTCCACTGAACACGTCGGCACCAATACCGTCCTCTTGAACCTATGGAGCAGCCGCAGCATGTAGGTCACGGCAAAACCCTGTGCAAAGGTGTTGATTGCAAGTAGACCCTGCTCCCACTCTGACATGACCTCGGCGTTTGCTCAAGGAGGCTCGAAGATATCTGCTAAAGCGGCCGGCACAGGACTGTCAAATTGAAGATGGGGTTATAAACACCGACCTGGGCACTCCCTCAGTGACCCTCCGACCCTTGGAAACTATGCCTGTTCACCCAACGCATCGGGACAGCGGACACAACGAAGGGCCAAAAGGATCCAAAAGGTTTGGGCAACAAGAAGGGCCCTGGAGAAGGAGAAACATCCCTACATATCCCTACAACTCACAGGTTGGCACTGCACTCACTGCTCTAATTACTCAATCCCAGCTTTGACCGTACAAATGGATATACTTGCAAATAAAACACTTAGGCCGCTTAGGCCAGTAGTCAAAAGTCCTCGTCACTAACGCTACTCATGATGGCTTTGTTTGGGGTACTCGAGCGCGGATGAAGTAAGGGCAGTGCCAAACAATCCTGCCAGTGAGTTCATGCATCCGAAAAAGAAAACATCTCCTCAAGTGGCTGTTGCTTTGTTTTTCGGCCGAGTGGCTGGATCCATGTTGCTAAAGAAGGAGTCATAAACGCAAGGCAACACCAGGAGAAGCCGGCATGACCTGAGGCCGTGGGCCGTGAGTTGAACATAGCTGGAGTTCACTCACCCCAGGCCGGATGGCAATGTCTCAACACACAGCAACTAGCAAAAGCCTTGAAGCATCTAACAGAACGAAACAAACAGTGGACATGTTCATGTTAGATCCAAGGCCATCAAGCCAGGGTCCCTTGATTTTGCGCCACTGAATGCTGTGAACCAACTTCACTCAGCCCAAGGACTTCCTGACCCATCCAGGTCAGAGCTGAACTCGCCCCGGAGCCGAGTTAACAAATACAACTCACACCGATCATGGACCCTCCAAACTGGAGGAACTTCCTCCTGTTGAAAGCGTCTCTTCTGGGCCTTCCTTCTTGGGAAGAGAGCTTCCTTGTTTGGTCTGGGAAAACAAACGAATGATTTGGACACCCTACGATCCCACGATGTGGAGCGTGTGTGGAGGATTCTGTGACTGGTGGGCTTGTTCGGTGGGCGGAGACTCAGTCTCATCAAAAGGCAAGCGAGTGACCTATAGCTACAAAAGAGGAAGCAAATCAACAGAACATCCACAAACAAACTTGTTCTGTTTGTGTTTTAGTCTCTTAGGATACAACAACTTTGGAGAGACATAGCGGCGGCTCGTGGCATTCACACGCCGAAGGGCAAGGATAAGCAGGAGGAGAGGAACCAAACATCGGTGAAGAAGACTGTCCTCAGCTGCGAGAGATTGACATTTTTGGTCTGGTCTGAAACCAAAGGCTACAATGCCACAGTGTGTTTCTCAGGATACATATCCTTCGCCTTCGCCAATATGGAGTCATGTGTGCCAATGATTTTGAGCCCCACAAGTAAATTCAGAATTAACCGGTTACAACAGTCTATTTGGATCAATACAGCGTTCTGCAATGTTTAAAGAGGCGCTCTTGCCAACTCAAGGTCAAGCAGCAAACCCAAGGAAGTGCGGAGATCAATCGAGATCAATTGAGACAGTTGATATACATATTTTTCAACAAGCTCTTTCTGTACTCCCTGGATCTACATGAGCAACACTTCTAAGGCTTCCAACTACCTGAAAAAAACCTGTAGGTTTAGGGGCACCGCGCTTCTCTGTCTTTGGATATGAGGAATTGAACTCGCCAGTCACGATGCAGTTGTGGTTTTTAACCATCCATCCAGGCTTTCCCCTGGCGGTAGCATCCGGCACCCCTGCTATTGGTTGCAGCCTCCCAAACGTTCACAGATTAGGCTATACATGGAACTGGATCATGGAACCTGACAACACATCATGGAAGGTGAACAAATCTTGATGCTCCTACTGAGTCCCGTTGTATTTGCAACACGTGAAAGCAACACACGTCAACCTCGCAGTCCCTTGGTTTACCTGTCGATTGACCCGTGCCCACCCATATACTACCACTCTCGTCGCCCCAGTGGCGGGTGCCAAAGCGACTTCCTGGGCTGCGACGAGTGAGGTATGGCCAGTGAGGGTGTAGCCCTCTGTAAATACTCTCCTGCAGAGAGCTACATCATGGAACCCCAAAACCACTGGGTTCGAGTCTCCACCGGTCTTTCTTCTCAGGTTCCATGTTGGTTTGCGGGAGGATACTGGATTCTTCCAGTGGAATACACTGTTCACTGGGGCAGGGGAAAAAGCATGGGCTGGTTAGGAATACACTGTTCATTTTGGCCCTGTACAACTACAGTAGTTCACCTGATCAAAACGTTCCTGGTTTCTGCATCTCGAATCATTCCAGCAGGGCCTGGAAGAAAAGGAAACAAGTTGAAGCCATTCGCAGGAATCGTTCCAGCATTGATCCTTTCGGTGCGTGGTTTTATTCAAGATCAGAATAACAATCCAAAGGTCACCGGACACATGCCCAATAAGACGTTGCAAAGCAAAGCATGTCAAAGCCAGCAAAAAAGAACTTCATTCATCAATCAGTCGACTATTTGCTGATGATAATTATTGTTTTAGTGGCGCGCAAATAAGCAACAAACAACACATCGCCCAGCTCAGCGACATGGTGGGATCATCATGCGAGTGCCATTTGCTCCAGTGTGCCAGGAACCACCAGAAGAGGTTCATTCCTCCAGGTGATGAAACCGTGTGCAGTGAGTGCATCGGTGAAATGTTTCGTCATGAAGCCGTGTGCAGGAGTCAAAAGGATGGCCACAGGGGGTCAAATCCACATGGGTGGTATGGGAATGACCATCCTTGATAGGCAGGCCGTGGGATGGTGTGCGTCAAGGATCGCCATGGCAGGATAGACCGACCGTTCAATGGACCTACCCCAATGCAGTCGGTGGCTTGCGCGAAGGATGGACCAACGGATGGCCCCCGGTCGTCTATTCTATTCATTTTAATAGGGAACCCCGCCTACCAATGGGTTGTGGTCTATGTCCCTTGCTCCAGGAAGTCAAACGGGGGGCCTCCCTATTCGAATGCACATCCGTATCTAAGATACCTGGGTAAGACACCCTAAGAATAAGAACTATATGTTTGATTGGAAACAAACAAGCGCATACAATTTATAGTAGGTACACGGTAGCAGCACAGTAGTACACCCAATATGGCACACTAGGTACCCTACAAAGGAAGATGACACAGTGGTGGCTTCCTGGGATCGGGAAGGGATCTGGGCATCGTTTTCGATTGGTTGGAGTGCTTTGCCACAGTGGTGGCCGTCTCCGGTCGGTTCCCCCCTGATGGGGAGAAACGGTTACGATGTCTCACACCGGATGCCAGTCAGGTGGGTCTCTTTAAGGCACACATCAAGGAGTCAACCTCCCCCGGTCAGCAGGCAGTCCTTCTCGAACCTCGGGCAACTACCATGCAACAAGTTCAAAGCAACGGCAGCAACGGTCTTGACGGGCAAAAACATGAATGTATATCCACCCGCCGGAGGGCCTGGCCCTTGACAAACGATGCTTGACCTCACATGACAGCTGTTCTGTCTACAGTAAGTGAACTACTATTCGGGCAGCTCTTTTTGACCCCTGCCAGGAGCATCCTTGCGATCTGGTCGAGCACGGGTTCCGCATACCAGTTTGGGGAGCTGGTTCTTGGAACTACTGAAATCTGGTTGATGATGTTTCCCCCATCAACAAACCACAAGTGAACTCATCCACTAGACCAGAGTCTCTGGGAGAAGTGTTCACCATTTGGGAACCAGCGCCATGTCGCAAAGGAAGACTGGGGTGGGCCATAGACAAAAACAAACGCAAATCTCTCTCTCTATATATATATTCTTATATATTATAAGGTCTTTTTAGTACAGTATAGTTCTTCATTGGAGGGGCACCGAGAAATTGCCACCAACATATTCGTTGGTCGTTGAATCCTGGATTCTCTCTGTCTGGGCGGTTTCAAACGACAGCGCCATGGTGCGGCACCTCCACGAAGCCGAAAGTCAATGCTTCTCCCCATCCCATCAGAACTGGCTTTCCCTGAGATGATTGAGAAACATATACCTCTTTGAGAGGTCACTCTGTTTCAAGGTGAACCCCTATCATATGGACCATATGGACCATGAGATGATTGAGATGGATTCATGTCGAATGAAGAGCCAAACTGGATCTTCTGAGAACGACCAAGTGGCGGCACCAGCGAGGAGGATGGACCAATTCCGATGCTGGTTCTGCAGGGAGTTGCTCTTCGCCTGGAAAATGTTTGGCGTTTTCTCCCCAGAGGTCTGAGGGATGCAGATCGGTGGTGCATGTGAACTGGACCCCTGGTTCTAAATTGCTGACCTTGTCTCACAAAATAGCATCTAGACCCCAGACCACCCACTTACATGTACTCTCCCAATCTGAAGCAACATCCATTTCACACCATACACAAACAACTGCATGGCGCTGCATGGCATTGAAGTCTCTGTTTTGGTCCCTGAGTCAAGTAATTACCTATATAGTGTGAGAACCTGTGACAACTAAGAGACATATATATATATGTATATATATTATGTATAATGTAATGTAATGTAATATATATATATATAAAATAATACAATATATATATATATAGCTCATTACAGCTCAGTACATAGTGAGTAAAGGGAAAGCTGTCTGTCGGTTCCTTCGGTCGGTTCCTTTTCTCCGTCGGTTCCTTCGGTCCGTTCCCACCTCGCTGGACTGGAGGCCCCAGGCCAGCCTTAAAGACACCGAGCGGTGGGTGAGTGCTGCGTGAGGATTGGCAGAGCGTGAGTGCTGCTATAGCTGCTACACTCTGCCGAAAACATGACATTGATTACATGGAATTGCATTCCATAGGCCCCGAGAAGAAAGACGGCTTTTCCTCTAGAAAAAAGGGCCGTGCCATCCACTTCCATGTTTGTGAGTCGGAGTGTAGTGGTCATAGGATCTTCCCAAGATCTTTACATGAACCAACGTGCTGCTAGTGAGATGGGGGGAGGTCCAGGGCAAAGTGGTACCTAATATATACATATGTATATAATATATGGTTCTATCTAATTGTGTATTAAATATATGTATATGATATATGTTGGAGAACCAACATAAATTTGGTGCTATGGGTGGCAATGCTTCGTCACCCTTCTTCTCTGTTCCACTCAGATTCCACTCTTTGTCTGGAAAGACCTCCTAGCATGGCATAGCAATTCCCCTCTTATCTCTTCACAGCCCCCCAGGAGGAGGAACGGAACGGAACTCCTCAAAACCCTCAGTTGGGTGCCCAAAAAAGGAATGCGAACATATTAGAACATCTCCGATTTCTCCCCTGCCGAACTTGAAAGCACATGAAAGCACCACACCGATCCCCATCTCCCCTGTATCTCCCCGCCACGCCACCGGTCCGGTGTTCTGTCCGGACCCACCGATGACCGGGCGACAAGACGGCCAGCTCGACACCCATGAAGAGCCAGGAGGACGCGAAGACGGGCCACACCAGCCTGTCGTCGTCGCGTCGATCGAAAAGGAATCGGCGGCCGCGGACGTCCACTTGGTTGTTTGGGGGGTCACCTGGAGATCAGAAGATATCATATATAGAAACGTTAATTGTCATAGAATTCTACAGCATGTTCGCGGAATTGAGGTGGTTCATCCGTTCCTGCAACAAGTGGGATCCCATATCATAGAATTCATAGAAGCAGAAGCACATACAATTGTCACCTGGACCTGATCCATATAGTATTGCAATTTCCCAAAGAATGGACAGTGCCCGCAGTTCTCAGGTGGATGAGGATCCATTACAGATTGGTCAATCGCTCCAAGAGCGATAAAAGTGGGGGGCTTATGTTGAACCTTGATGTTTCGAAGGTGTTTCTCCAAGAACTAGTTGCATTCAGCAACAAAAAGTGTGCATCCCAAATCTTCAGGCAATTCAGGCAATCACCAGGCCACATGTTTGTCTACACCAACACACATGAAAACACACCCATTAAATAAGGAGAGTTTAGACCCTTCACCTGAAAAATCCCCGAACAAATGACTGAGAATATATTCTTGAATGTCTAATTATATACAACTTCAATTCTGCCAAACAGCGGATAGAGATCAGTCCAAACATTTCCTTGTCACCCCTTCCCAAAACCAACACCGGCCCCCCTTTCCAGTCGCGCATTCATGACAGGGCTCTTGTCCCAAAGGCAGTAGATGGCGCCCTGGATGGGCAGCTTCGCAAAGACGTGGTTGTCCGTCTCCCAGGTCCGAGTCCTGGATGGGCGGAGACGGAGAGGATGTGTAGGGCGGAGATGAGGGAGATGTCACGTTGCGAGGAGGGGCGGAGAGAGAGGCGAGTGGAGATTTATTGGAGGTTCCGGGTTCTATCGTCGTGTTTATATGACCATACGTGACCTGCAGGAATGCCATAAGGCTCTGGAGAATTGCCCAATTGGGATGTCTTCAGAAGAGATCAATGAAGTGATCTTTCATGTGTCTCCAGTTCCTTGAGAAATCTCAGCTCCTCAGCGAGACACAAAATAGACACATAGACCTCTTGGCATTGCTCCGAGTAACAAGGCCATAAAGATATCCACATCCAGCAGGTTTGGCAGCAGCACCACCTTCACGTCCACATCATAGACGTTGTCTTGGCGAACGGCCGCAACCTGGCGAACCGCTTCAACATCTCAAGTACATGTTGGAAACATTGTTTTCCTTGCCACGACTAGTCAAGTCTTGAGACTAAACCCTAAAAACCCTAAACTCTGAGAAAGCACCAAAAACTGTTCAAAGCAAAAGCTGTTCAGCATTTGTGGCAGGGGTGGGGTTTGGAAACACCAAAACACCACCACTGACTTAATTGTTTACACCAAAGGGAATGTGTTTTGACCCATACTCCATGGAGTCAACCCAAACACATACACTCCAACGCACTAACATGTTTGTAAAGGAATGTAGTCTTCCAAGATCATTTTCCGCTTTCGTGTTAGTGAGTCAGAGTGTAACTTGATGGTGTATGTCGCATGGGTGAAGGTGTATGGTCACATGAGGTTGCGTATGTCGCCACAGGATCTTTTCAGCGATTTGTGGAAAACCCAGCGGAAATTGAGGCGCGTGGTGTGACCGTGGATGCATGTGCATATGGATGGTCTGGACTCTGCATCATGACCTCACGTCTTGACGTGTAAAAACTGACCACGACCTGCTCTTGCCTCCCTGTTCCGTCTAGCAACTGTTTACACCCCTATGATTTACCGTGCTTCGATATCTTGATCTTGTCACCAACAAGTGCAAGCTGTGAATAAGTTCCATCAAGAATCAAGAACTTGAGGTAGATGGATCCGTCCCAAATTTTACCTCAACAAACATCCACCACGACCATGTGTTCCATGGCATGGTTCTTGGGCTGGACCGGGAACCTTCCGCCCCGGTCCCCGGCCCGCAAGGGGATGAAGGCGGAGTGCCAGGCCCTCGGCGAACGGCGCATTCAACCCGATGTCATCCACAGAGCAGGCCGTCTATCTTTCTGTTCACAAGTATAGGTAGTCTATGTGGAGTTAATGATAAGATACCCCCCAAACATGGATGCATGAACTCGAGGTCGATCCAGTCGCGCGCTTCTTGTAAAAGCTCTTCATCTGGGTGCTTCTAATTTTTACATGACATAAATACCACAAAGACTCTATGGGATTGGCAGTCCTGACACCCGTGTGGGGAACATCTGATTCCAGTCCCATGGAGTATCTGGGATAAGGACAAATTGCAGCTTCATGCTGTTGTCTTTGTTCTTAGTTGCCGTTGCATCTTCAAAAGGGTGCATCCAAAAGCGACGACAGAACCGGTGTCTTGCCAAAAAAGCTTTGGCATTGAACCAAAGCGTCGAACCGTTAAGAACCGAAACAACACAAAGTGGGTATAGGTTGCTTCTCTAAAGACAAAACATGTGTTTCCCACCCTGTTCCAGGGACCTCCGTTTTTTCACCTCTTTATAGGGCTAAAGCAAAAACCAAAGGCGGCCCCGCCGTTCCCGCGCCGGACTTCGACCGTGTGGGCCGTTGCTTCCCAACGCCGTTCACTGGCCAGGAGGCTGACACACCTGGGGCCGTTGGGAGTGTTCTTGCTGCGACAAGAAGTCGAAGCAAGAAACAACGCTGGAACCGTAGAACTACGGTGAAATACGGAACAAGACGGACGAATGTTGCTGTTCATGGTTCATGAAAGAAACATCTTTTCAACAAAATCGATGAACGAAGAAACATAATCTTCACATTCACTCATCAAATACAACTCCATGTTCCCCATCTACTATCAGCTTCATTCTTCACACATCGATCTTCCCATTCATTTTTCTTTTTAAAGTCTTCTCTTCGCACCTGGTTGTCCGCATCATACTCCCACTGTGGCCACATCAGCTGACGCCGTTGCACCACGTCCGGTCGGTAGGTGCACCGCGCCGGGCCCGTGTGCAACGGGGCACCTGGCAAGCGGACCGGTGATCGAGGGTGATGAGTCACAACGACATGATCTGTTGACGAAGTGAAGAACAAAATAGAACAAACAAACTGGAGAGTAAAAAGAAATGAAAGCATCAACATTGATGACAGTAATTACAACAGCAAAGCAATAAGGATAAACAAGTAAACACAGTATCTCAGTACATAGTGCTGATACTAGTGCTGATTAGACATCTAGTGCGCCGTGCTTGAATCTTATGGAGCTAAATGTTGAAGCCGTTGAGTGGAAAGCCAAGAAGTTGCCAGTATTCTTGACCAAGCCTCTGCTTCTTAGATGCAACTTTTGGCCAGCAGTCAAGGTTCTTAATGGCGCCCAGTTCTATTCACTGAAAAAGAGAGAAACAAAAAGCACTTGATGTCCTTTTCGACAAAGAACGGGATGGCAAGGGATGCTTTGCAGCATCTTGGACAGCGGGTGGCACTGTCAGCATGTCCTGCGCAAAAACCGGCAGGCCAAAGCAGCTGCTGAAGAACCACCTTCTTTATCTTTGGAATCTAGGTCTAGTGTAGTGGTAGTATGGGAAGGAACACCTGAACCATCTAAAGACTGAAGGACTAGCAAACCTTTTGGCATTCTTTGATATATTTTCAGAATGCAGTTCCTAGCATCGTTTAAAGTTCAAAACCACCCCAAATAATATGCTGCATGCATTCTGAAACATCTTTCAGGATCTATCCCAAAATGATCCCACATTACATACCAACCATGCTTCATGGTGCTTCACCATGGCTTCACCCATCCACACTGCAGATCCGCTTCGTCCAAACCGCCCCGGTCACCGGTCCCCGCCCCTCCGGTCACCGGTTCGGCTTCGGTCCAGCAGGGCAGCTCCAGCGCTGGGGACCATGTACAGCAAGGCTGGCGAGAGCGGCGGCGGCGCTGGGAATTTGGAGATGTTAGTAGTGACGACATGGAGATGTTATTATAGGCATAGGCAAATGTGGGGATGAGATGGATGTAGCAAATGTGACATCATAAGTTTAACTGAGTCAATCAGGAACGATACGTTCGACGTTGCAATCCATCTTTCGTTCGCTCATGCGATTCCTCCGAGGCGTTCCTACCTGCAATGCGGTCCACGGCGCCACTCATCTGCGCCTCCTGAGGCTCCACGGCTTCTGGGGTGTGCAAGTCCACATCACTAAGCCATAAGATGGAGCCATGCTTATCAAGCGCACAAACAAACAATCAAACACACTAACACATATTTGAAGATATATACATGGAATGGCAATGAGGGAATTGCAATTCTAGGAGTGGATTTTTCATTCTTTTTCAGCATGGCGTCTAGTCCTTTGGAAGATGAAGCGTGGTCTCTACATTACATGTGTCTCTACCGATTGAAGACTTCCTACCGCCAGTCAGCTAATGGGATGTCAAATATAAATGAAACTCACACAACCATCTGCAGCAACATAGCGGTAGCATGCTACTAGAACATGCAGAACATGCTTTTCCGAACCTCTGGGAAGGGGCAATGCGCACAAACTGTTTTGAGGAAGAGGCAAAGGTCATTATATATAACTATTATTTATGACTAGTGTGATTTGTTGCAAGCCCTCAAGAGATAGCAAAGAACTCACGTCGGGACCGTCGGGTCCTTAATGATCATGTCCTGCAGCTGTTGGTTGTTCCTCGCCCGGTCCACCAGGTCGTGCGCAAAATCCTCCGCAACTTTCATATTGCCTGACTTCTGCACACCAAATACGCTGCCCTAAGGCCCAGGCATTCGATTGAAAAACCAATCCAATGCCTGGACCACTCTTTTGTAGAGCTGGAGACGTTCTGGATTTGTCTGACCGTTTTCTTTTCACTGCTACGACTTCTTCCTTCAATCCAAAAAGAGCCTCTTATTTCAGGTCCAAAAGCTTGAGGGGCAAATCAATCCATCCTTCCGATCCAAAGACCTATCTCACCAAGCCATCCAGGTATCTTGTTTGGTGCGTCCAAGGCTGTTTTTTCTGCGAAACCATCGCCCAAGCCACAGTTGGACAAAAGGCGGATATCTGCGAAGGCTCTGGGTGTGTCCAAATCAATCGACCTTGCGATCGATCTGCAGCGACGCAGCGCGCTCCATTGAAACTAGTGAGAAATCTCCAATCACTTTCTCCGGACCTGGGTTTAAAGACAAAAGAACGATTCTGTTATTTTTTGGCACGATGGATTTAGGTTGATTTAGGGATCAAGAGATAGCCTGAGTTAGTAACACTGGCTAGACCATTGGCTGTTTGAAACGGGATCTGGCCACATCGCCCCGATGTCGCTCGCCGAGACACTGGTAGGACGCTGCCATCAAATACATCAAATGCTTTGGATACCTGGAAAGTATCAGAAAGTGGCAAAATGACAAACTGACCTGATGAGGTGGTTCTGAGAAAAGCACAAAGCAACTCTTGAGCATCTGATACAGTAGAATAATATTATTGGGACACAATGTGGTGGTTGATTTCTCTAGGATTGCGTTGCACGTCTGGAAGTGACTGTAGCCCTCATAACTCCGCGAAAACAGTGACTCAGCCGAACAAGCAACCTGTCCTTTGCAAACACTCAGAATCCACTCAAAATAGACTATATATACCTGATTAAACCTAACACAAGGACCCTTGGTATTCCATCATCTTCCATAAATCCACCTCACCGGGCCCGAAATCAAACACTCACTTTGATGGGCCACACCTCAGTCGGACGCCGAGTCCGACTTTGGTGGCGTCCGACGGGATGTCTGGCTGCGATCGAAGCTGCTGCGTCTCTGCGGCGATCTCCAGAGGGATCTTCTGCTGAAGGAAGGGGTCCTGATTGAGGATGGAATTTTCCACAGCAGTCTGTAGCATCCTTGCTGTCATCATCCTACAAAGCATGGGAGGTTCACATCCCCCCACACACATGGCTTTAAACAATTATATGTTTTCAGTAGCATGGCTCTGAGGTTGATTTACCGGTCCTGTGATACCAGGTACCACGCAATGCGTGGTTGCAAATGTGTATAGGTCTTAGGTTCCCTTCGTGGAGTTCCGTATCACCAAAAACATCAATACATAATTTAACATTTCAAGGCAGGTGGCTCTTATGGCAATCCAAAAGCCTGATGACACATGACCATCCACTGAAAACTGCACAAGCTGGGCAGATTGGGGAGTGCTCAAGAGGTTGGCCAGTGAGGACAATTGATAACGATTCTTCCTCGGAGGCAGAATTCTAGGTCAAAAATCTTGGGGCGTGCAGGTACTTCGATCATGCGTGTTGGCCAAAACATCTGCAAGGATCGAAACATGCTAACTGATCATCTCACATAGCAGGGAAAAAGTAGATGAATGCCATTGAATACCTAAAAGATCCTCATAGCGTAGGGCTCTTCCATCTTGACTTGAGACCTCCAACATGTCAATCACCACCAACTACTGGACCTCCCAAACATCAAGCCGTTTCCATCAAAACGACAAAGATCTGTAAGAACCTGGGATGTTTCTGCCCTACCAAAACTTCAACAACTCAAATGGGTTCAAATGGAATTGACAAAATGATATGGAACCCAAATGTGTCGAAACCTGTTTACCAATTGAGAAGTCAAATCACACCGAATATGAAAGTGCCATATCCATCCAGATTCCCGAATTTCTCAAATTCCCACGCATACGTTCTTCGCCCGAGCAGCACAGGGATACGGCGGACGAGCAGAGAAGGACCTCGCCTCGGTTCCAGCAGCTTTCCGCTGAGCGGCGACAGACTCGGTGCCGACCAAGTCACCTAATCCTTCGGTGTCGACAAAACAGGTGAGTCTTCAACAAAGTGAGGGAAGGTGTGCTACCCAACAGGTCTCCAACAAGGGAGGGAACAAAGTCTCCAAGTCCACCCGGGTCTGCACCTGCCACTTCCACAAGTCTCCATCTTTGGCCACCATTTCGGAGAGAAGGTGGACTAAATGGATGAGAGAAGGTAGCACCTACCCTTTGGCCGTGTCTTGTCGAACAGGTCCTTTCAGGTCATGACCTTCAGTCATGGCGAACACGTCTAACATCGCCAAGGCACGTCCAAGTTCGCCTTACAGTCCTGAGCGGAAGGCTGCTCTCGGGCTGCTCCGGTTCGAAGGACGTTCACGAAAACGACCGGGGCACCGTCTCCGAAGTCCGGTGCCATCCGGGAGAAACTCAACGACCGGGAGCCACGGAGGCTCCCATCGCCCACCCCAAATAACACGGATCCTTTTCGGCGCAAGGCCAAACTCGGTTCGACTCGTCACAGACCCGGTTCGTGGGGAGGATCATCTCCACGAGTCTTCATTGAAAAGACTGGTTGGTGGACCTCACAGTACATAGTCCATTCTGTTCATTTGGATGGTTTCCCAAACATTTCCCGGTTTTGACCCATAGCCTCAAGACTTTGAATTGACACTGAGCCGCTGGTGTGCGGAGCTTTCGGCCACCTGTACTCCTTTCTCCTTGTTGGAAGACCACTTATATAAATTCAATTATGCAGTGATTGGTTTCAGAGTAGATGGCACAACATGAGAAATATCAACTGACCCGGTTCAGTCCAAATGAACCGTCCACTTCGATCCCGAGGTTGGAACAACCTGCTCCAAAGAGATCATACCGAAGGCTCCAGCAACTCCAGGACCACTTCTTGCACCTCTGAGTCCATCAAGTTCCCACGGCCTAAGGCTGACATAGGCCGACGCATGGCCGACGCATGGCCAGAAGCACCGTGGTTTGGAAGCACCAGATCAGCGAAGCGACCAAAAACGGTTGGTCAATGGCCGATGGGACGGACATCCATGGCCTGGGACCCATCAAAGGACTGCACGAGGAAATCATAATCAATAGTTTCGGTGCTTAAGACCCCTAACACATCCAAAACCCATCTCCAGGACTTGCTGCAAACAAAAGTGTGGGCATCCTAGTGATCGACCAGGACTTGGTTCGTGCCCGGTTCCGGCGCCGGCTTCGACCTCGGCGCCCGCCTCCAACCAGCGCGATAAAGTGCAGGGGTGTACACCCATCCTGGCGCATCAGTTTTTGGAGGTGATCGACGGATGGGGTTGGTTCATGTCCCAAACACTCCATAAAACTGGCATACCATACATACCAGGAACTATACCAGGACCATCCAATGGGTGTCTAATGGACTACACTACACTACTTACAAGTCTCCATTGGGCGCCCACTGGATGGTCCAGGTATTTACCATTCGTATATTTGTAGCGAGGGTTTCGTGAGCGAAACAAAGCCCATGGCGGGCCTCCACAATCATCACCTTCAGGTGGGCCCGAACTCTGTCGTGATCCCTTCGGACCCCTTCGGTCCTTGTTCTGCGCGTCGGCCTGCGCTTTGTGGCGCAAGAGCCAAAGCACCTGAACGAAGGAATGGGCCACTTTTAAAATATAACATGAAACTTGGATACTCTTGAGCAACCATCAGATTCATCGGATTTTTTTCCCCACCTGTTAGGGGAGGGTTGTGAGATGTTTTTACAGATTCAGATAGCCTTCTTCTCCTTCTCCTCCTTCTTCTCCTCCTCCCTGATCTCAACAGCAAGCGCCAGATCGCAGCGGGCAGTCTCGGACTTCAATAAACTTCAATAGCAAGTGCCAGATCGCAGTGGGAAGTTTCCGACCTCGACACACAACATAGCTACAAACACAACACACAAAACGCAACCATGATACAACCACAACCACAAACAGGCAAGCCACAAACAAACAAACCACAAACACAATGAGAAACAGAACCACAAATACAATCACAAACACACAATGACACACATACAACCACAAACACACAACCAGAAACACAAACTCACAAACACAACCACAAACACACAAATACAACCACACAGCCACACACATACAACCACAAACACACAACCAGAAACACAAACTCACAAACACAACCACAAACACACAAATACAACCACACAGCCACAAACACACAACCACAAACACACAATCACAAGTGCACAACCACACACACAACCACACACACAACCACAAACACACAACCACAAACACACAATCACAAGCGCACAACCACACACACAACCACACACACAACCACAAGCACAACCAAAAACACACAATCACAACCACAGACACACAACCACACAACCACAAACACACAATCACAAAACCACGACCATACACACAATCACAAACGCACAGCCACAAACACACAAACACACAATCACAAACACACACCCACCATCGCAAACGCAACCACAAACACGATCACAACACACAGGCGCAAACACAATCACAACAACCACACAAACACAACCACAAACACACAACCACAACAATATAAGTACATGTGTGTGTGGCATTTTTAGCGTGGCAGGTGGTCACAGGGTAGCACTCTTGGAGACCCTGACGACACCACTAAAATAACAATCCCAAACCCGAGAACCCGTAAGAAAAATCGACAACCACAAAACCCACGACCATGGCATGCCATGCTCCTCACGCCATGAAAACAAATGATTGAAATGCCACGGTGCGGATCACTCGATACTCAGAGTATAGTTTTTTTGAGTTTTTGAATAGCCTCTCGACTCTCGTGTCCTCACGTGAGAATGCACGATGTGGTGTGGCTTGACAGGTGGAGACCCGGCGCTTTACATGTGGAGATGCGTCGGGTCTGTGGCACTTCTACAAGGAGCTACTCAGTCCGGAGCTCTCTTCAATTGTAT